CTTTCCCTTGACTGTAGTGCAATGCCTCCTCCCAGCCATGCCACAAACACAATATACTCCAAGGCAAGGTGTCCCTTTCCCTCTACTTGCCTACCAGTCAGTTGCTCTTGAAGCTGACCACTGCTCCTGACTGTTTTGCATGTTACTGACGCAACATCCACTCTCCAAATTAAAAACTTGCATGCTAGAAAAATGACATAACATTCTACATAAACATTCTGTATACCACTTAGTCAGGCTGAATGCAATAGTTCAGAATATTCTACAGCCTTAGTTACAGTAAATCTAATGCATATATCAATATATGTAAAAAATAAAAATAGTTTGGTTTTAGTCCTCTAATCCTCATGAGGCTGTTTTCATAGAATGGATTATCTCATGCATGCATAGACACAATCTGATTACAAATCACCACATACTACGATATACTTTAGAGACCTATTTCTCATTGAGTATTTTGTACATATTCAATACATATTTCTTTTTGCCTAAAAAGAAAATTACTTGCTAGATTAAATCCAGTGAGAAAACAGAGAACTGAATGCTACCACACTACTCCTGCAGTTCTCGAAGAATGTTATTTTCAAAATCTCAAAGCCCAACACCCTAGAGCCACCCACTCCAATTCTGTCTTCCACATCAGCTCATCATCCCAACTGATGAGGAAATTCATATTTCCAAGTATTTGCCACACATTTAGTAGCACAGTGTCGCATGAAGGCACTTTCAGCTGGGAGAAGACTAAGTCAATTCAGTGAAATCCGACTGTTGCAAAACTAGCTCTAGCAGTTTCTTAGCATACTGCTACAGTTTTGATTTACTTGACTTAAGTCAGGAAACCATACTCAATAATCCTGCTAAGAAATCCTATGGTCCTGAAGCTATTCAGCATTTTCAGAGTTCTGCCAAATGAGTTCCTACACAGTGTAATACTGATCGCACTTACTACTACAAGACAATACTTAGTCTGGCTGAAACTTGCAAGAGAAATTCTCAGTTTTATGTTGTGTATGACTGAACTCAGCTGACTGCTTTGAATGGATTCAGCATGGCAAGCTAATAAACTGATCTTGACTATCAAGCTGACCTAGGCTGATAAATATATTGCCCTTTTCCTTTTATTCCCTTGGACTCTCCCATCATTTAATTCTACATTTTGAAAACATATGCTTGTTACAACTGGGCTGAACATCAACACTACAATTATCTGCTCCAAGAGACTCTGTTCTGGATGATTCTGATTTGTAAGGGAAATAAAGCTCCTCCCTCACTTTGCATGTCACATTAATATATTCTTTGAGTCACACCGTCTCTTTCTTACTACGTATTATACTGGCTTATCAGAACTTAACCTTCTTTGTATACTCACCTTTGGGAGCTTGAGTCATTCGCACTACAATCTCAAAACTGTATCTTATAAACACCACAATTCAAAGATTTTGCATATAAAAAAGATCAAAATACAAAGCATACTCAGGCTTCAGATTTTTTAAGAATACTCACCTGGTTGGGAACTTTACTCCTAATACGAGACCAAGCTCCATCTTTGTAGAAATACTGGGCTGGAGACAAAAATTTTGACCTGTATTCAGTGTTCATCCTCCTAAGAAATAAAGAACAAAGCAAGTAAAAAAGACAGAAAGAGTAAAGCTTGACATCCAGAAGACTCCTTAAGAGCACTTTTAACGTCGTATCAACAATGATAAGTGTATTTATACTTAAATGCCAGGGCTGAGATGTGAAAAACACACGCTTTGAAACACAGCTCCTCCATAACAACACAGCTAGGAAAGCTGTGAAAAAGCTCACTCACAGTTGATGGCTCTTCAAGTAGTTACTCCTGTTGGTTTTTCCTCACAACCCTTCTGCCAGAAGCTTTTGCCCCGACAGCCAAATCAGCAGAACATACTACACACATAAGCCTCAATTACCTCAATGCAAAGTGGAGAGTCTTGGTTTAAGTCACTGATGAAGGTGCATTTAAGGAAAAATGCCTGGTTTGGCACTAATGTGTCCAAGACATTTCCTTCTAGGAACTCCACTCTAAAGGCACTCTGCCTATGGGTGGGGTGAACTGTCAGGGCTAGAAATGTCCAGCTACCATAACAATGGTCAGCATAATTCATGTAACTGTGTCCTACTGGCTTTGATCTTCAAAAGGCCTCGGTACTTGAAAAGATGGATTCATTTTCCCTTCTGCCATACACATACATACACAGAAAAATTAACATCATCTAACCTACAGCAGGCAATAAGCAATACTTCAAGTCCTTAAGCACTGAACTGTGGATTTATCCCAGAGGTTTTTGGTTTTAACCTTGCTTCAGAACATTACTAACTTTATTTTAATGTATTCAGCACCAGGTGAAAAGACCCTCTTTTTCAGTCCTTCTTCAGAAATAGATCATAAAAGCCTGAAGTCAGAGAATAAAATGCACCTTGTAAAAAGAAAAATACCAAGGCAAAAAAAATCCCTTTATATTCAAAATTTCTTTCCGTATGTCCCCTTCTTTGAAACTCAGAATTCCTTCAGTTTGGGTTGCAAAACCAATAGATTATCTCAATAAACATATCACTGCTGTGCCTTGATTCCAGTCATTCTGCTGCAAGCACAAGCCATGCAATGCAGCTTGCATACAAAGCGACAGTCCTGTCTGCACATTGAGAACTTGCACATTTTGAACACTATTTGCTCAGTGACTGTTTTGGAAACTTTTGCCTTGCACTACCACACTGAAGGCATAAGAGGCAGAAATTTGTCCTTAAATAAAAAAGTCATAGCAAATGATCACAAATTTTACACACTACTCTGCAAAATTTACTACAATCTACTATGTCAAACAGCTATAAAAACCAAGGAGTTAGAGGTTTTAATTACAGTATATTCACTCACTTTTTCATAAAGCATTTTTATTTCACAGAATTTTAAGTGATGATTTTGTAATTATCTCCCAATATCCAAGAGCATTCAGACCTAAGTAGGTCACATCTCCCATCTTTAATCTAATGCCTTAACACTGCCAGAAAGTCATGTGAATGAAAGCAATCACTGGGACATATATATAAAGCACAAAGACAGCAGAGATGGACTAATATATGCATTTGAAAACCTACATCATTCTGGACTTTTATTTCTCTTGGCATATCTCAGATGTGTAGAAAATGGAAACAAGTACAGTTCCTGCAATGTAGGTATGTGGCAGAAGAAAAAGTTACTTTGATAGCACTCAATTTAATTTCATTTCCATGCTTGTCTGATTACCAGATGATTAACAGCTGTAAACAGGACAGATTTCTTTACTTATTTATCTCATGAGTTTGCTTCTCTTACTCTGGGACAGAAGGTGGTATGTACTAGAAAAAGCAGACATCAAGTACAATCATCACAGTTTTAAGGTGTGGAGCAAGCACAGGAGAGTAGTTTGAAAAGAGACTACAACTTCCAAAGTACTCACTGAAAGTTTAGGAGCAGCATTGCACCGATTTAGTTTCATTTATGTTAAATTTATTAATAATATTATTATTGCACCAGAAAGTTCAACTGAACGAGTGTGGTTACAAAGCTTCCACTTCGGCTGCCCAGAGAATGGGATAGAAATTAACACCAGGTTTAGACGTACCCACAGGAAGCTCAACCGCAGCCCTGCAAGGGGACAGACATCGCGTTTGCCCTTCCAACTGTAAAATGGTGCAGTTAAAGGTCATCGTTTGTGATTCTAAATATTACACTGCTGTACACCTATCCACTAGGCTAAGATTTCCTATTTTATACATACCCACGACTTGCATGTAAAGAGAGGGGCTTTGGACTGATATGTTGCTTATTTTTTTGTTTAGGATGTTTCTGTTCTGATTTCCCTTGTTTTGCTGCATCTTCTGCTGGCTTTTGAAACGGTTCTTCCCTTTTACTCTAAGGCAAAGATAATTTTAAAAATACCGTATTAGCTAAAAAACTGAAAACCCCCATATTCCTTTTGACATAAAACTTTTGCAAAAAGTTATGTTATTCTAAAACGTCAACTGTTTTGTGTTTTTAATACAAACAAGAATATTACATTCCTTTGCTAATACACCAGCAAAATGCCAACGCTAAGATTCTGAGTGCAACACTCAGTTAGTTAGGTGATCCATTTTGTACGCTTTACAAAATGAATTTAACGTGAAAGACAGAAATGAAAGATTACAATACCTGCACATTCTAACTCTAACTTGAGTTTTGTATAAGATTTAACAGGTATATTTCTGGAATTTGTAATAAATTAAAAAACAAAAACTCTTATAGTCAAGCAATATAAACCAATTTATAATAAACCAAAAAGGCAAATTTTTAATTTGCTGCCATTCTGGTTTATAAAGGGTCAGATTGACTTGTTCAGTTTTGACATCACAGGGTTTTTTTTTCCCCTGTTTATTTTATCCTCTTGGAAATCTCATGTGTGATTTGTGATTCTGCTAGAGATCTTTACACACACTGTTCAAATTCAATGAAAAAAAAGAAAGCAAGAAACAAAAACCCCACCAAAATCCCCCAAAAGTTCTTCAAGATATTCATCAGATAACAGTATACATAAAATGTGTTTTAGACAGTTTCACTAAAATTCCCTTCTCGTGCCTTCTCTTCCTTCACTTTATTAGCTCTCTCAGGAAAATATAACCTGAATTTCTAATATTAAAAACAAATGCTTCCTAAAGGCCTCATGCTTTTCAAGCTTTCTTCACATCTGCTAAAAGAAGCAAAAGGGCACAAAAAATTCCTCCTCCCCAGATGAGATTTAAAGCACAGGGCAGGTCTGTGTTCTAAATGATAAAGCCTCCAAGCCAGCAATCATCTTTAAGAACCTCAAAAGTAACAACAGCTAAAAGAGAGCCACAGGCACTCCATGTTAAGTATGCATTTTGCTTAGTAATGGTCCGAGTGAGCACATCTGACAATGGCTGTCCTACGTGGCCGGATGGTTAGCTAACCTGTAGGAATTTAAACACCACTACACTTAGCAACTTGCTACAAAACAGACATTCATCTGTCCACCCTGCAAAATAAGTTAGTTGTCAAGCAGTTTAAATTGCTATTACCTATTTTTAGAAGGCCTCAGTCTGAAACAATTCCATTCTATTAAAAGTATCTGGTGAAATGGCTATAGCCATGTCTCCTACAAGTCCACCTATGTTTGCCCAAGCCAACACCAAGACAAGGAAATGCAAGGCCTCAGCCAGCCAAATTACTTAAAAGACATTTTAATGTTTTGAACTGAGTAACAGAGCCTACATAGGCTACACAATGTCCCGTTATAGCCCTGCACTTACCTTTCAACTTACCAAGACAAAGGGAAATGAATTGTAACCCTTCCTCCATGTTTCTTCAAACTACTGTTGGCTGAAAATCAGTTCCAACTGTGGCATCTTCTATATATCAAATTTATTTTTTTTTTTAATTCACACTATGTCTGATTTATGAGATCAAAAAAGTTCCAGACCTCCCATCCAGCCCTCCTGCATAGCAAGAGACTACAGTGGCACCAATGAGAGCATAAATTGGACATCTAGATTTCAGAAACTGTCCTAACGACTAAAACCAAAATTTCAATTTAAAAAAAAAAAAAACAAACAAAAAAACCCACCACTTGAAAACTAATAAATTAAGGTGACAGGAAAAACACACTCAAAATGTCATTGTAAACTGAACAGACACTACAGAAACTACAGAACCCACTACAGAAACCCCTAAGAGCAAACAGAGCTGTACAGTGATATTTCCAGTCTTTTATAGCAAAACCACTACTGAGTCCAGTGTCGTTAGCTCAGCTATAAAATATAACTAAAATTTTCAAAATAAACCCACATCCACATTATAGAAAAGAACAATCAAAATTATAGAAGGTTACTAATGCCTTTCTTTTATGGAAATATTTACTTGTTCATAAACTGCAAATTCTTTCTCTTCTGAACCACTTCTCTCTTGTGGACCCTTAACAGGAGGAGACTCTTTGACTCTTCTCTCATATTCAGTTTCAAAAGTAATTGCAGGAGATTTAAATGGAGGTACAGATTTACTTGTGTTGCAAAAAACCTTTGGAGGAAAGAAAACAAAACAAAACAAGAGTGACTTGCTTACCTTAAGGCTAAATTTTCAAATTCAGTTAACCAATTCATGCAAATACACTCACAGATGAGCAGAGTCACGTGTACAAACACAGCATGTACAGACTAATTAACTTCTAGGACAAATTGAAGAGAAACTCAATCTGATAAAAATACATTTAAAAGTGATCGAGGCAGACAACTAAACCTATGGTCAAACGCTGTCCTTACTGCAGTTTGCTAACAGAGGTTTTGTGGATTTGGGAAGACAGTTCACCTTCAGGGTTGTAGGTAGGAACATATTTTTTAAAATGCATGCCATAAAATTTCCGTTTGAGTCCTTAGGACATGTCCAGTCCATAAGTAACAGACAAGTGTTCTGTGTTTTAGAACTGGACGCTTAGATCAGGGTAATTTGAGCCATCCACTATTTTCCAACCAATAATGTATTATAATTAATGGTAGAGAATTTGCCTAACACATGGTCAGGTATCATCTCCTCATGGGGCATTGAATTAAAAGACCTTACCATATGTCACAGGCATACATTTTCCCCAGCTACGCTATGAGAATTGAGGTCTGACATAACCTAAGTTGGATAACTTTGATATTTTCACAGAATCTCTTCAAGAGAAAGGTATCATCATTATTCAGTACTCAGGTATATGCTCCATCATTTCAATGAAAAGAATATCAGTTTGTTAATATGTATAATTTTTATCATGAAATTCTAATCTTATGTTTAGAACTTGCAAACATTTATACATATTTAGATTTTCTCTAATTTCTCATTATCTAAAGATTTGTAGTCCCTACAGGTGTATTCTTATGGCTTCTCATTCCGTTTAAGCTGTGAAAAAGTTTGCTATTTTAGATTTCATAGTCTTTCTTCTGAAATAGCACAATGTTCACAAGTATCAATAATGAAATTATCAAACTGATTTCTAATAGAATCAAATGGAATTCTCCAGGAAATTTTCCATAAGGTGACTTTCCAGTCACCCGCCTCTTCCTCAAACGGTCCTTTGGCTTCTACACTATTGTAATGCATTTCAGTGAGTATTCCTCGGATAAGGGACTGTTGGGAAACAGATATCTCAAAGTAAGTCCACCTGCTTGGCATTCCAACAAGAAAAAGACAGGAACAGTTTTTATAGTGATTGATCCTAATTATTAACATTTATTGCCTCTGAAAGCTGTTACTGAACAAATCTGCTACCCGCAGGTAAAAACAGAGAAAGCGCCATCTGTAATAATCCCATTAACGCATATGCTCCTAGTAAAGAAACAGAAGATGAAATAAAAGCAGAAGTTCTTATTTTATACTGTAAAATGACTAAAAGATGGAATGAGTCTCCTAAGTCCTGATCCCAGTAACAATGAATTGAAAACACAAAGCAGTCTCACAATCAGAGTTACTCTTTGTGGTCTGATTAGAAATAGCAGCATTTCCAATCCTACAACGTCCAAAAACTCATGAGATGTATTAGAATGCCGCAAGAGTGTCTTAAAATCAGAAGACTCCACTTTTAAATATAAGCAGTTTTCATGAAACTGAAAAACACTACAGAGATGCACTTTAGGACTTAGAGGTATACATGCACAGAGTTGGAGACCAAGAATAAGAATCTGTGGAAACCTATAAAAGACCGTGAGAATAAACAGCGAAACTTGAACGATTTCAGTGGCAAGATGTGCTGTTACAATACAGAACACCTGAACGTTCCTCTGTTGATTAGCTATATACTACATAACATAAAAATGTTAAAAATGAAGGGTAACATTGAGTAGGATTTTAGAGCTCCTAAGGTAACTTAATGCAAACAAAAGAAAATGGTCCTGTTAGAAAGTACAGAATACAACCAGGAATAAGCAGAACAAGTAATTAGACCTGACTACTAAAGAATGACAGGGAAACAAATCTAATTATACAGCACTTTTGTATATTGAGAGAAAAAAATTAATCATGTAACAACATTCAAGTTTGTTGTTCCCCTGCCAAAAGAGGGAGAAAGGGAATCTTGGAAGGTAAGCAACTTTGTTGATACATAGAATAAGTATTCATTTAATTTCTGGATTCTTTAAAATTACCTGTTCAGCTGCAAGTATTGGTGACTTTTCATGAGGACTCTTCCAAACAAATTGGCTTTGATATTCAGAATTTCTGGGGAAAGTATTTAAACGTGAAATATTCATGCCTGCTTTCCTCTGAAGGACTCTGTGAAGCTGACAACATACAAAAGAAAAAAAAAAAAGTAACACTGATTGTTCCCTTTCCTACAATGTTTTGCAAGTCAGATATCTTTCAATGCGCACTTTCAAACCAATGATTTGGTTTCTGGTTGCATGAATTAAATGAATGCAAAGTACAGTTTCTCATCACAGCCAACAACCCCAAAAAGTCTATATATTATTGGCTAAATCCTTGTTTAACTGAAATCAACAATGATGGCAGGTGAACAGGAATTCACGCTTCATTTAAGTGGAACCAAAATCTGGTCTCAAAAGTACTGTTCTCCCAACAGAAAAGCTACAACATAAATATATCAAAACTCAGGACTAAGGAGAGAGTTAGACAACAGAGGCTGGTGTTTAATTTAATGGTGTTAAATTACTGTATGTATCAGATTAGTAATTTTTATACTAGTTAACTAAAAAAAAACCAAAAAAACAAAAAACACCACTCTTCCCTTACCCCATTACCCATTTTTTCTAATTCCTTTCTTGGAGATGAAAATGCTTCATTTTGATCTGGTGGAGCTGCAGAGGGTGATCTCTTCATGTTGTTTTCTGCAAGAGCAAGAGCTGTTTCACCTCTAGAATCCACCAAATGTGACTGAACTTTTGGGGGGAGACTGGGTCCTTCTGGCATCTCAATTTTTTCCTGAGTCACGTCATTGTTGTTGTGGTCTGTGTGCAACTCTGCAGTCTTAAGAGCTTCAGTTTCAAGTGGGTCATTCAAATCACAATCTGCTGGCCATTCAAAGGACTTCGAAATCTGTGGATTATGATGAGGTACCCTTCTCTTGGAAATGAAGTTTGGTTCTCTTGTGATTCCTGAAAAAGGCATAGTAGTTTCAACAGAAACATTCTATTGAAAGCATAATATCACTCTTTACAAGAATAAACTGAAAGTTTATCATACAACTGATTATTAGAAAAAACTATTTTAGTATCATTGAGTAATGACAGCCTATGAATTACAGCATGGCTGTGAAATTCTGTCTTCTCGCCTATCTGTGAATACCTTTCCTTTTCACTAAAGAGAGATGGGAACATGGTGCTCCAGGACCATGTTGGATAAAACCATATAAAGCAAATATGTCCACAGGACAATCTTTTGCAAGATGATTCTGGAAGTTCAACAACAACAACAAAATTAACACAGCTGGTGAAAAGAATGTCGTTAACAGATACAGAATGACCAACCTGCAGTGATAAAGTACACCACAAACACTTCTCATTACACATGCCCAATACACCTTCCTGAACCAGTTCTCACCGATTGTGACAGGACAGCGACAGATCCCTGTTCATCTAATACAAATGTGATTTAAAACCATCTCAGACAGCCGGTGACTTTTTACAGTACAAACACAAAAACATTTCCAAAATTGTAAAAAGACTATGTAACAAAACCAGGTATCAAGCTCTTTTAAAGAATTGTTGGCCTTTACACGTGCAGATGAAATTAAAATTACCCCACCGTTTTAATAGGAGGATTGCACGACTGAACACATTTAAATCAGTAATCCAACTGCAAAGTGCCCACGTGCAATGGACAAATAAGTGAAGGCCCCTAACTGTCTGAAAGAAACACTTTCTAGGAGAGAGAGAAACTCCTATCTCATGAAGTAACAACATAGAAAGAGAGAACAACCTACAGTGAAAAGTATACAGAATATCTGGATGTCCAAATACACATACAGGTGGTAGGAAATAATCCGAGTGGAAAAACACTGGAAAAGTAGCAGGAAGGAACTTGGGGCACCTGCAGCTGTTAACTTTTTGAGGTGATGTTCCAAGTCATTCTTAAAACTGCCAACTATGTGTTCCAACGGGAAGAACCACAAATTAATTATCAAAAACAATCTGCAAGTTCTATTAGATGTCAAGAGTGACATTTGAAGATGCACATGGTTAAATGGTGAGAAAAGAGGTGGGAGTGAAAATGCATGCAAAGGTGTAGGAAAACTACACCAAGCACACACAAAAACACCGCTACACCGCAAGGAGGAAGAGAAACTGCTGCATTACTAACTCATGACTTTACTACAAGTCTTGCAATATTTGCAGTTTAGTTTGACTGGAAAAGCAGCACAGTATACAGTTTTTTTAAAAAGTTAATGTGTTTGGATGTTCAGGTGTTTCAGAATTCATGGAAGTTATTCTCTTCAATACAGGTGCCCATACACAGAGCCATGTGCTAGGGAAAGCAAGGTTAAAGAAATATGTATTTTTGCAGTAATGGAAGATAGCAGTAATATATACAACGTGTAACCTTTGGCAAGATTAAATTATTTATTAAAATGTCTAGTATTTCAGCTGAAAACAAACCATACTCCCACTAGTTGGGTCTTAAAGACTAGGCCATAATTTAGAACACTTACCATATTGTAGGAATTACTATATTGGACTCTAATTACCCAGACCAACCAGTATGGTTGCACTGAACTGCACAGTTTGGTTAATCTGTCTTGTGCCACTACAGTAATTCCTATTTTCTACTGCTCCTTTTCAAAGCACTGCATTTGTCATTACTCTGCAGCTTACTCCTTTTCCTCAGCTCTCTATGGGCCTTTCAATCCAGATGCTATTTCCTTTGTTTTCTACTTTCCAATCCCACATTTTCCTGCCATAATAATCTCTACAACGCCTAACTCCTAGTCTACAGTATCAAGGCCAGGCTAGACGGGGCTTTGAGTAACCCTGTCTCGTGGAAGGTGTCCCTGTCCATGGCAAGGGGGTGGGAACTAGATGTTTTTTGAGGTCCCTTCCAACACAAACCATTCTAAGATTCTCTGACTGATGCCAAGCTTTTCTATTTAATGCTTGTCTTTTCTTTTTTTTTTTCTTTTCCTAGTTAGCTGCCCCTTTAGATCTTCATAACAATTTCATTTTGTATCAAACTTTGCCCTAAATTAGTCTCCTCTTAAATACAGAATTTTACTTACTGTTTCCATGTATCACAGGTAACCCAATGCCTCCTTCTACACACCCTGTATGGGTTAACACTGCATCTGTGCTTCATGTTTGGGATTCAGCTTATGCTGCAGGTCAGAAACCATGTATTTTTCACGTTTTATATAAATAGCACTGACATCAAAAGCAAGTTTCAGTGTAGCCAGAAAGAATAAGGCATTCAAAAACACATTCTAAATGATGACTACAAAGATACTTTTAACTGTATAAAGCATACAAACTGCAAACACTACCAGTTCACTGTGGCCATGCACGCAATCACAGCAAACCTCTCCAGACCTCCTGCGGGCCAGGCAGGAGCCAACTTGGCTAGCATCGGGGTTTGCACTGAAGGGGGTGGCTTTCATGGGGTGCTTACCAAACTGATCCGACCGAAGTCCTGCCCACAAGGATTTCTGTTGCTGGGACGGGCTACAAAACTCTGGGGCTTTCCATCTGAAGTTTCTCTTATATTCACTCAGCCCCTGCAGCAAACAGAGAGGTGTGCGTCAAGTGACGGGTACCCATCCTGCATAGGAAGTCCCATTCAAACACAAGAAAAAACTTCTTTACGGTTCGGGTGACAGAGCACTGGCACAGGCTGCCCAGGGGGGGTGTGGAGTCCCCTTCTCTGGAGATTTTCAAGACCCGCCTGGATGCAGTCCTGAGTAACGTGCTCTGGGCAATCCTGCTTTAGCAGAGGAGTTGGACTAGATGATCTCTAGAGGTCCCTTCCAACTCTGAAAATTCCGTGATTCTGTGATCCACCGCCCCTCTTGGGAACAGGTCTCCAAGGGGAAAAACACCAACAGGGCTCGGGCTCAGCTGGCAGGCTGCTCTGCACCTTCCAAACCCACCACCAACGAAGAACAAAAACTACTTGGCTGCTCTCCCAACAGCAGGGGAAAGCGTCGAATAATTTCACGCACCAAAAAACAAACAAAAAAAAAACAAAACAAAACAAAAAACCTCAAAACTTATTTATATCTTTAAGTGAGTAAAATTTCAGGAACAAGCACTGCCCGAACGCTCTGTCACCCACACGACTGAGCTCTTTCGGTCTTTATTAGCCGGCGCTCATTAGCGCAAGGGTCTCTCCCCTTTCCCGCTTCGCCGGTGGCACCCCAGACACCGCTGCACACACCCCCCGCTTTGGGCCCG